AATATTAATAGCGCTATATATATATATATATATATATTAGTATATATTAGTAAAATTACAAATATTGTCACCAATATAAACTTATGAATACCTATTTTGTTACTTGAAATTCTGTAAAATCAAACAGAACAGATAACAATTATGAAATCAAATAATCAAACATCTCTGAATTTCTCCTGGGCTATTTGTCAGCTTTAAATTAAGTATTTCAAAATTTGTCTAGAGGTAGATATTAGTTAATTCTGATTATTAAAATTCTTATCAGATGGCAACTATGTTCATCTTTACATCAAATTTTGAAATTAATTAATTGATTAATTAATTTGAAGCTAATAAATAGTTTGAAAAAGTATGAATATATTTGATTACTTTATTTGCATCAATTCTGAATTAATTGAATTATACAGAAAATAATGAATATCTAGACTCTGCAAAAAGTTTAATGAAAAAAATTAATTATTTACATTTGGGTAAATACTTTATACAGAATAGCTAACCAGTTTAATAAAATTATCAACATAATATATATGTTAAAATATAAAAATTATTTATAAAATTTATATAAATTTATTTCCATTTTTATTTGAAAATATTTGAAAATTGTTAAAGCATTTTCAGTATGGATCATAATTTGAAAATGTTTAAACCTGTTTTATTTTATTTTACCATTTACATGTGGAAGGAAAATATCTGAATAACATAGGTCTTCTGTTATTATTTTAAAGACTTAGCATATATGTCAAATTGAATTCAAATGTTTTGTTCTCTATGAACAATTCTGCCTGAAGAGGATAGTTATATACTGTTGAAAGTACTTGCAAAATAAATAATTTTATGTAACACTGACAGACAGTGGTTTATATTATCTTTCTCTAATAGTACAAATTGGCTTGTACGGCTATTTAAGCTTTATGTCAAATTATTTGAATGTGTTTATAATGGCTTTTTTATTAGCTTTAAGAAAATTTATATACTTTCAGCCTTTTTTTTTTATCAGAAGAATTAATTGCAGTTTTATTATTTTTCCTTGCAAAGAAGACAATGACATTTTACCTAATTATAATTTAATAACATATATTGTTAGCTGATGTTTTGCATGATATATACTGTATATCTTCATTATGAAAAATTTTTTTAGATACAACTCTTTATATCAAATTTGAAACGTAAATAAAGTAATAATATAGTTATATTTTATTATCTTGAACACACTGTAAAAAGTAAGTTTTTGTTATTTGACTTCGAGTTCCTTTTTTAAGACTTCTTCAAAAGTACAAACAATAATGCTTATTTTTAACAAATGTAACAATCGTACAAAATTAAATTTGTAGTTAATATTTATTTGTGCAGTTTTCTAAAATTAAAAGTTTGAATTATATATAAAGTCAGGTTGTTGTAATATACTAGTACTTAATATAATTTCATTAAATTTAACATGTTATTTACCAAGTCCTCTTTATATAACAATAATAATAACTCATAAGCAGTTTGTAATCAATTTCTATTATAATAAGTTTCCTCATCATAATTGATTTAAATCTAATTTATAGTTGTAGATGATAAACTGGATTTAAATCAATTCTGATGAAGGAATATTTATGATAGTTGATTAAATTTTGTTTAGACATTCATAGTATAAAAGGTCATTTATCATTTCATTCCTTCAAATAGCTGTCCATTTCTTTAACTGATCAATATTTACTTTTACATAAACTGAATGGAATTTCAGTGTTTAAAAAAAAACCAATGAACGAAAAACATTTATTGCATGAATTTTGTTTTTGTTATAATTTGATTTTTATTATTTATCACATGCACATGATAAAATTCTATATTCTTTTAATTATTTTCAAATTTAATGTGATAATTTTTGTTACATGTAGTGGTCTGAAATCAAAAATTGCAGTAATATGTTTGTTTTTTGTATTATATGCACGAGAAGTTGGTTCTGTGTCTATTGTACAAAAATTGCAGATATAGGAAAAAATAATTTCTCCATCTGTGTCTTAAAAATTAAAGTTTTATTTTATTTTTTAAGAAAATAATTTTTTTTTTCGTAATTTTAAATAAATAAAGTTTTTATTCATTAGTTTATAAATTGTTTCCAGAAAATATGATGGTGTTTTGTTACAAAAGCTTTATTAATTTTAAACAGACATTTTTTAAAATATTACTGTGAACAGGTTTTAATTTAGAGCTATCTAAATATCTCTCAAATGTTTTAAAATAATGGTAATAATCATAATGTGCACAATTTGACTATTTAGATGTATGATTTAATTCACATAAACTACCTTTATATCAAAATTTTAAGAAACAAAAATTGTATTTTATTCAATCGGGTCCACAGAAAAATTTTGATGTTTTTTATCATGTCACAAAAAAGCATACCAAAAACAATAGAAATAAGTTAACTAATTGTGAGAGTAACTATTTTAATGAATAATTTATGCTTTCTCAATGTATACAAGTCTATATATATATATATATATAGGCTTGTATACATTGAGAAGCATAATTTATTCATTATCACTTGTGTTTAAATCTGGACAACTATTTGTGGAATTACACTTAAGAAACAAAAAAGAAATGAAAAATCTACTCTTTTTCTATCTCGAGGATGATATATAAGATATATATATATATATGAATGACTAATATATGATATATAATATGAAGGACTAGTTTCTAGAGAATACAGTATATGCATAAGTACTTCCCAACATAACTCCTTTGTTCAAGATTATCTTTTGTTACTCATACAATACAAGGCCTATCACTGTCATGCAGGCATATGATGTCTTTGTGGTTTAACAACATGGGCTGCTTTTTCAATAGTATTTCATGAACATGTGTAATTGGAATAAGTAGACATCTACTATGATGATTTTAGCCAGATAATAGCTTTTTGCTGGACTACTCCACTTGTACACAGAAGAATCTTGTTTCTGTGAATATTGGACTTTGGAATCTGGTTATTGTCTTATTTCTTGACAAGCAATTATGAGATTGCTTAGAATTATTGTAGAATATCCATTTTTTTATCACCTGTTAAAAATGGCTCCATTTTTTTATAGAAAAGCAATTGTAAGTAAATATTCAGCTAGTATTTCTTCTAGACAGGAGTCAATTCATATAGAACCCATTTGCTCTCTCAGGAAGGCCAGCTACCTGGCCATCCTGAGAGCATCTTCAATTGACTCATCACCAGAAGAAAATTTTCTGAACTATTGCTAAATTGTGCAAACACTAGCTGAGTCAACTATAAAAGTTTGGCCTATCTTCACCATATCTATGATATTTGTTTCAAATTTAAAGTCTTATAGAATACAGGTTTGAATAACAGATTGAAATTCTAGTTTCAAAGGACTTACACCTGATATTTTACCACCTTTTTTGTAAGTGCTTATGTGTATTCTAATTCTAGCACATATGTATTTTAATAAGTTATATCCAATAACTTCAATAGAATAAATAAAATAAAATTCAAGCAGTATAAACTGCTGTCTATTGAATTTTAGGACAAGTTTAATTTGGAAAATCAAAAAACCTCCAGAACTTTTTGGGACTCTAATATCTATTATGATGACGATCATCATCATGATCATACTATCAGTATACTTAAAGCTTTAAGATTGTATTATTATAAAAAGATAATGATGATATGAAACAAGTATGGAGGATAACAGGAAACTACTATACTAAAAAACATAACTATAGCTATAAACTTTAATAAAGATTATTTAATTTTATCAAATGTGCTATAAAATTTAACTTATTATTTTTTATGATTTTTAATAATAAGTTAAATTTTTAATTAATAATTATATGGTTTTTATTAGCTTACTCTGTTTGTTGGTCTGTCTATCAAGATAAAATCTTGTAACTTAATTTTTCACCCATTTCCCAATTATATACTAAATCAAGAAGGATTTTGATAGTTGAGTGTTTTATATATAAAACTAAAAAGTAGAAAATAAAAAATATTTTAAAAAGTTTTTAAAGAAATGCTTTTTATTCAAACAAAATGCATTAAAAAGCAAAAAAATTATTATTTTTTATCTTTCATAGTATTCATTGCATTATACAATCAAAAATAAAAGTATATAACACTCACCAAATAAACCATCACCAGTTCATAACCAAACAGAAAAATTCTTTCTACGAACATTTTCATCTATATGTAACAGACATTCTCAGGTATTGACGATATTGAACTAACGGCTAGTAGAATAGAATGTTTTTGAAAGTTCCGTTTAACTGCATAATTTGAATATGTTGCGTTAAAATTGAAAATATGTAAAATATTTGAAACATATCCAAATAAATAATCAATTGATTTCACATAGATCATGACGTAAATATCCTTCGTAATTTTAAATATCTTTGATGTGCGTTTCAATCATTGGGATCTAATTCAAACATGTCACACCATGCTGTGGAAAGCATATTGGTTTCTCTGAAATTAATACCGATCCCTTTTTTAATTGACTTATATATCTCCGGCGATTTGAGGTACTTGAGTTGTGCCTTATCCGATATTTTGTGTAGCAATTTAGCGTTTTGTAGATCAACATGAACGTCCTCATTATTCGCATATGTTGCTAGTGCCATTGTGGCCAGCTTTTTTCTTATTTAGTATTCATGTTTTTTCATCCTCATGGTGAGACCTCTTGCCATTGCTCCAATGTATGTTAAAGCATGGTTAACTTGGTGATCTTGAAGAGGAAACGCATAAACCCCTGGAGAGTTAGAATCTTCTATACAGTTTTTATCATTTCTGATAAGAGAGAAGACTGTAGGAGAGTGTCGTTATGCTACATGTATATTAGTAGTCCTTGCAATCTCTCTATATATATTAGAAAGTGTTTTGTTATATGTGATAACCCTCATCTGTTCGTCTTGTGGCATATTCCTCTCCCTCCTATTTATGTATTGTTTTATGAGATGCTTGACCAAAGAAGACGGGTATCCATGTTGCATTGCAAGGGCCTTGATCCTCGACAATTCGTTTTTTTTTTTTTTTCATTTTGCTCTGAACAATGTGTATGTGCCCTTTTTACCAAAGCTCGAAAAGCAGAGACTTTGTAACAGTAAGGGTCATGTGACCACTATTTATACATAACCGGTCACATGACATTTACTGTTTCAAAGTACCAACCTGCTCCTGACAAATATTTAGAATCACTACAACAAAGAGTTAAAAAATTCTCTTCAACCCCTTTAGCTCGCTGTTTACGAATGCATAACTCTGTAGTACAAGCACCAAGAACACCGAGAATCTTCACCTTTGGCAAAACTCATAAGCCGGACTGCCTTATACATCCTGTTATAGAGAAATGCGGATCCCCTACTTTTGCAATTGAGAAACAACTGGTTAAGTTTAAATAAGTTTATTCGACCAAGGATTCAAGATTACCCATATGCTATTAATAACTCTGTTCAACTGGTGGACAAGCTCAGAAACTTTAACCTCCAAGATAATGAAGTTATGACCGTGATGGATTTTTAAATCCTTATTTCCATCTATAAAATTACCTCCTTACTTTTGCGAGCTGAGAGACTTCCTTCTTACTAACATTAATAATGCAACGAAGTATCACCAACACATTTTAGAGCTTGCACATCTTATTTGTTATACTTTATTTTTTGTATTTGAAGGGAACACATATTTACAAGAAAGAGGGGGTTCCAATGGGGAGTCCGATATCCCCGTTATTGTGTGAACTAGTATTACGATGATTAGAAAGTAATGTACTGCCCGTTTTTATAAATGACATACTTGTATATGCAAGATACGTTGATGATGTTTTCATCATTTGGAGGAATAGTAATAGTGCTCAATATTTTCTTAACAAAATGAATAACAACCCATATGATGTGACTTTATCATTGGAACAAAAAAGTGACATTAATGTAAATTTTCTGGATCTGTCCATAACTTGTAAATATGGGGAAATTTGGACAGATATTTATCAAAAGCCTAGCTATCTACCTATTATTATGCTGATGAATTCCTTTGATCCTTGGAATTTTAAGAATGCAACCTTTCAATCATGTATAAAGCAGGCCTATACCATTTGTACGAATATGTTTGACACACACAGAGAATTAAATTACATACGTACAATAGCTGTACAACAGGGATATCATATAAGTGAAATTAATGCTCTTATTGCTAAATTTTGTAATCAAACAAATAAGCAACCTACAACTAAGAAAATTAATTTTAAAAAATTAATTAATTTAAAAAACCTTAACTTACCTTATTGAAATAAATTTAAAAGTATTATGGATAATTTTATTTCAGTAATTTTTATATTAAATTTTATTGAAATTGACAGTTTTTGGAAATTGCTAGTTGTTTCTGTAGCTAAGTATGACAATTATATCAATGTTACAGCATTATACAATAGTTTAAAATAGAATAGTGTATATGTATATCAATATATAATATACATACTATTGTTGGCAAAGGTAATTGTACATAACATACATGCTATCTTATGTCCAGAATGTTGTAGTAAAGTGTAACATTAACAAATTATCATTGTATTTATTCATAGAAATGATATCATTTCTATATCTACGTTAACTTCAATAAGGTAATTTATGTAATACTTGTTTAACTAAAAGAAAATAAACATTATCAGCATAAGTTTTGCTCTTGCAGTTAAAAAGTATTAAAGTTTCTTAAACTGTTTAAAATATTTTATTTTATAATTGTAGATGATGATGATAATAGATTTACAATTAATGATAAGACAATATTGTAATAGATATATCGTTTTAACAAATGATCTTCAACTGTCAACAATAGATTATTTATTTATGTATATATTCCAAAATTCAGCTAAAAGTTCTGAAATTGTTATAAAACTAATTCAGTGTTTGTTTCTTGTCAATCAAACAAAACATTGAAATTTTGTTCATTTTATTGCCATTGCCTATGTGAACACATATTCTAAATATAAATATAAAAATAAAAAAATACCAGGATGGCACACATACAGAAGAAACATTAAAAAATAAATGTATTCATATTTTCGTCCTTTTTTGACACCTTTGGGATTCAACAATAATCTGATGAGGGAGTAAGCAGAGTTGACCTTTGAGGCTCTCATCTGTCCCAATATGCAAAGATGAAAAATAAAAAGTTATTCAAGTTAGTCAAATATTCTAATAAATTCTTAACATAGACTTATATAGTATCTGTTGTGTTATGATTTTATTTTTTTCTGTATATGATATCATTTTTTAATATTTAAATACTTACATAAATAAAACTAAGAACATGGTTAAAGATTTTTGTTTGTTATTCAATATACTATGTAATCAAAACTGTATAAGCTCAAAATATTATAATAGAGGAAATAAAATGTAATATGAGTAATTGAATTTAAAAATTTTCAATCAATATTGTGCAAACAATAAAATTAAAATGAAATTGAAAAAGCATTATCATATTATTATTATTATTATTATTATTATTATGAAATATGGAAAAAATAGACTTAATTTTTAGGGTAAAAAGACAATGGTTTATTTATTAAGTGAGATGTAAAATACATTTGAAATCAAATAAGAAATAAATTATTATATTTTGAAATGTTTGACAAAATAAATTATTTTAAATTAAATTTCATATTTTTATAGGTTTGTACTGAAGGTAGACTTATTTTAGAATTTACATTTGATGATTTGATGAGAATTAAATCTTGGCATTTTGCTACAAGACAGCACAGAGAATTAATATCACGTGGACTCATTGCTATGCAGGTAATTTTTTTTAAAGTTTCATGTGAAAATTTCTTAAAATGTATTTTTACTTTGCATGTTTTTGTTTCTGAATTTTTTAAATAAAATTCTTGACCAATCATCACAAAAGTTTCAGAAAAAAATAAAGTTACATATCATTTATCTCTGAATATAATAGTATAATATTATTAATTTATATTATAGTATTCATTATATGCTAATATAAATATACAGTCGACTCCCCTATTGTATGAGTCACTTAGATTTTACAAATACGTGTGCCGGGCTGTGAATGGCTCACGTATTTGTAAAATCTAAGTGACTCATACAACACAAAATTCATATAAAACAGAAAAATCAACAGTGTTATAGGGGGATCGACTGTAATAGTAATATGTTCAATATTGATGATAATTTTAAAAACGATTTAAAATACAGTAACACTTGAATTATTTAATATTTTCAAACTGTTTATTTAACTCTTTATAAATTGAATTAAAATTGTTTTGGATTTCAAATAATTTATAAATGAAAGCCTGATTAATTTAATAGTAGATCAAATTGGTACTGGAGTTAATATATTTCTCTCTATTTATTGCTTTTGATGTCAAAAAGTTATCTTTCGCATTTTTGAGAATAGTAATTTAAAGAAATTTTAGACTAATTTAGCTCAATACTACTAGTAGTTTGAATTAAAGCTAATATATTTCACCACAATTTAAGTTAAAAATAATAATGTAAAATAGTTGTTTAATGCTACAAATTATAAAAATATATGTTAATAATTGTTATACTTGCCTGAATATATAATATATTGTATGTACATAAAATATATATCCATTGTGTATATATTCTTAGTGGAGATACATTAATAACTAGGTGATCTCAAAATTTTAATCTGTTAACTATCAATCAGGCTTAGGAATGTATTTGATGTTTTTCTCTTTGTATAAGTACGCAAGTAAGGATTTTGCTCTTTTAAAGAAGAAAATTAAATACTAAGCTATCTCTGCAACACATAAAATGGTGTCATTTTAAAGTTCAGAATATGATTGATTCTTTTTAATCTCAGATGTTACTTTTTGTCATGTGTGTACCAAGATAATATTCACTTACATGTTATAACAATAATTTCACAAAATTTCAGAGTTTTAAATTAAGTTTCTTTACTGTTCTTTGTGGTATCCAAATGTTACAGTTAGAGGAGAAGAGGGTATTATGGAATAGTCAGGAAATATGGAATATTGAGGTTTTGGCTCAATTTGTTGCTGCTATTACGTGGGAATACCATGAACTACTCAAGAAAGACTCCCATGATGCAGCGTAGTGAGAGTTGACAGCTTGTTGTCATCGCCCCACTCACTACAGAACAAAGTGTTTTGCGATTTTCAAGAGTTTTTGCAGGCAAGTGAAAACTTGCCTGCAAAACATTTTAACCTACTAGTACACATTTGACTTGAACATTGATGTTTAAGCATAATGTACACTAAAAGAATTGTAATTTGTTATACTGTAGTCGTTTTTTAGCTGACAATGTTTTGTCCATCAGTTTAAAGGTTCATTTTTCAAGATGGCATGTCGGGTATTATGGAATATTAGGATAAATGGATAAACTGAAAGAAAAGGACAAAAAGAAGGAACCATAAGCTTCAAAACAACAAAAGAAACCGAACATTCAAAGACCACCTGTTAAGAAATTAAACTTACAAGTTAGACTGATCTTCTAGACCTAAACCTACTAGAGATGACTCCAGTGTTAGCAGCGATGAATCGTTCCATTCTGATGTATCGTTTGTAATGGACTTCATGCTATCAACTAAAGAACCAGAAACGAAGATGCTGAATGTGTCTTCTGTAACGGAAAATTCTCTGAAGATGAACGAGGGAAAATTTGGATTCAATGCTTCAGCTGTTCTCTGTGGTACCTTGATTGTACTGGAGCAGAGATAGAAAATTATATCTGTGACTTTTGTAAATAGACTTGAAGTAGGAATGACATGCACATAATCTTAAAAATATGGTTTTTATAGTTAAAAATAACTGTTTTATGAAGTTTAATTAGTTTTTCAATGGTTTAAACCACCTATTCCATATTACCCTTTATTTGTGACTTTTTTTAAATAAAGTTTTTTTTATAACAACAAAATAAATGTGAGATCAGCCGGGGTTACGGAGTAGGTAGCACTCGTGTAACACTTAATCGGCGCTAGTCGGTAAGACTAGTTCTCTAGGATGCAGATCACTAGATCTGATCTTAAATATTTCATAGGAGAGCTATTAAAATGTTGATTGGATATAGGCGGCGAAGACTATATCTAACGTCAGGATTCCTTGACACCAGTTTGTCAATTTATCGATTATTTTATACGCGGACAAACACGCGTATGCGATCTGATTCGAACACCAAATTAAGAGACATTTTTATTATAATTAACAAAAGTAAATTTAATAGATCTCAAACAAACGAATACAAATAACCAAATACAACGATAATACGATAAGCTACAGGCTACGGCTTATATTTAAGCTAATGCGCGTTCGAGAGAGAGCTCACAAAATTATTCTAAACATACGACCTGTTAGTTGTCTTCTTCGTTTCTGTAGTTATAGGACACCTTGTGGATAGGGTTCATCTTTCTTTCGTATGGGAGATTAACTCGTGCACAAAATATAAAATTATCACTTCTTCTAAGTGTAGACTCGGAACTTAGTCTAAGTGACTCGTATAGGGCGTTGGCCGTCAAGAGGGAAACGTATGTGGAGTTTGTATGCTCGGATCTGTCGAAGAACTCGTCGCTGAACTCCCCGAATTCTGACTAATTTCTCCTTTTATTTCAAAATTTCGTCCAATCATCGTTCAGTAACTCTTTCGTGAGAACAGATGAAAGGGGGATGAATGAGGGGTAACCATTTCCCATCTGAGCGAGATTTTTAACTAGATACGGGAAAAACAGCGGATGTTCTCCTCAATGAAAGGAAATAACATTTGTCATCAATTTTTCCCACATCTAAAACACTAGTTTTTTCACACAAAATGAAGTAATATTTTGTCGATAAATTTAAACATATTAATAAAAATTCATAAATGAGGCCCAGGGGCCTTTCGGATCTCACATAAATAGCAATTTTTTTTTTACAAGCGATAGTTCATTACGATTAGTTATAGTATGTACTCATGATGATTTTGGGATTTTTATTCAAAAACCAGTAAAGTTATTTTTAGAAATGTAAATGGTATTCCATAATACCCTCCTCTCCTCTATATATGTTGCTTTCTTTTTCCTTGTTGGAAAAAAATCAGAACAAATCAAAACTACCTTAAGTTTTTCAAAATAAATTACTGAAATATTTAAATGATACTATGAAACAATTTAATGTGTAAGAAAAAAAAAAGAAAACTAAAGGAAACTAAGGCATGGCAGTCTGTTTGAAAACACTTATCTTTTTCATTCATAAACTACTGGGAAAAAGGAAGGATATTCAGATATATTAATTTGATAATCTGATATAATGAAATACAGTAGAGCTTCAATTATCTGAAACGTCAATTATCCGAAAGAATTCCAGTTGGCAAATTTAAATTTTTGCCAGTGCTGTGGTGCTGCAATCTTTGGCTATGTCTTGGGCTACTCAAATATTTTACGTTTTTGATACTAAATTAACTTCTGAAGTATAATTTTTTATTGTTTTTATATTTTTCAATATATTTATTTTGTTTGTACAAAATAAAAAAATAATTTTTAACGATACAATAGTCTTCGTTAGGCTTAACATCGGTGAAAATTCAACGCGAAGTGACACGTAATGGAGAAAAATTTCAACATGGGATAAATTAATATAGTTTTTCATACATGATCGGTTATCCGAAATATCGATTTTCCGAACAACCCCAGTCCCCAATTGATTCAGATAATCGACGCTCTACTGTAGTTTCCTTTAATATATAAAAATAGATTTGATTGTAAAAATTTTTGAGTTCATAAAAACAATTCATTTGAATAGAATATTATTATTATTATAATAACTACTGTTAACTTTATAAATTTATTTTTTTTAATGAATTATTTAAAGAAACTAGTATACAGGTATTGTTATTTAACCTTACAAAACCATCTTATTTTATAATGTCTTAGAGCAAACCACATTCAGAAATAAAAAGTCCGTGATGTACTGTAAACATCGCCAAATTGTAAACATGTACGTTTACAAGTATGTACTGTATTACACGAATTCATAAATTTAGATTACTTTTTTCTGTACTATATTAAAAACTAAAATTTATTTGTTTGTAAGCTTAGAATAGATTCTTATTAACCACATATTATTAAAAATGCATTTATAAATAAAATACAGAATTGGGAACAGTTATTTGTGGTTTAGCCTAGTGACCAATAAATTTGGAGACAAGTAAATTCGACTTACGTTGTTTTTTGACTTACTTCGCCTCTCCTGGAACCAATTACCGATGTAAGGCGAGGTATACCTGTATAGTATTTGTAACATTTAATTACAGCTTAATATTTTATATTATTTACCAAAATTTAATTAAATTTCAAGATACAATAACCATCTATAATGCTGTTAAAATTTAAAGAAACATACAGATACATTCTCTACCTCTTAAAAGTGATTAATAATGTGATTAATAATATATAACATGTATATTTTTTTTACTCTGTGTGATCCTTTAAATGTTTATTTTGCTATATTGTATTTAAATTTATCTTGTTCTGTTCAAGAATTTCAAATTTTATATTCTATTTGGAATAGTTATTCAGATGTATTAATTTGTTAATAAAGAATCCTGATGATGGTCTATAAATTACACCAAAAACATCTAAACATTACTAAGTAAAAAAATAGTAAATATAAAACATGGCCGACGGTATTACATTTAATTGTATTACAATAACAGAAGCAGTATTTTTACTTTTGTTAAACGTTGCCATTTTATATTTATTTATACAATTAAATGTAATACTAAACATTTACTAATCTGTTTAAAGATGTCATTTCTTTGAAATTTAAATTTCCAAGATATTTTAATTTTTAATTAATTATAGTTGAAGTTTACATTAATGTAAACTACACAATTATAGTGTAGTTTACATTAAACTAGTAAAAATACCTGGTTTTTTGAAAGAGAAATAAAATTAAAAATTATAATCTCATATTGTAACTTACTTATGAAATAGAAACTTTTCATTTGGACATAACTTTAAAAAATCATTATTTATTTATTTTTAAAATATTCTACAAAAGTGTATTATAGAAATGGAAACTCAAATGAATTATATTTTTATTCCATTACAGATGTCTCCACATATTGAGGTAATGAAATTTTTCTTAGGATTTTAATGTTTGTCTATGTATTTGTTTCATTGTTTATATATGATATATTTATTTTTGTTTTTAGGCTCAACAACAAGATCCTGCAATGTTAGATCAGTTAACCAAAAATATCACTAGACAAGGATTGACTAATTCTACATTGAATTATTTACGTGTAAGATTAACTTAATTAGATTTTTAACCCACAGTCATATAGGATAGTGATGATTTTCTGCATCTACTGGGCTTTTCACATGAATTTTTTACAAGATTTACTTAGCTGTGCTTTTGAATATCCTCATTCTATGTCATCCATCTGTGTAAAATTTTGGTCAAAAAATTTTTTATTTTTATCACAGACTCTCAAAAACTGCTGCCTTTCACATGCAATCATGTATGTACAATTTTTCTTTATTGTCATACAGTTTCTTCTCTGACACATGTCATGGATGTCATTCATGATTGCCACAAGAGGTAGTCATTACATCATGACGTGTGATATATAACTCCCTATAACCGTGAACTTTTGTCTTTATAAGATAGCCTGGGACGCATGAGCTTTAACAATTTCAATGTTTTTGCAAGTTTATTTTGTGCCAAAACATACAGGAAAATAATTTTATGGTTCTTCTGATCCTTCTGAGAAATCTCATTCCTCCCATCATTTATTTCTGGCTGAACTTATTTCACATTAGCCCATGCTATTGCAAAGATTGAAGGACTTCCTGTGGAAGCCTAATTAAGGACATTGTTCTGTAAACAAAATATCATCTTGTAAATTAAACAATGCATGATGTTAAAATTTTGAATGTGCAAAGAAGACACATTACAGGATTTTTCAGAATGGGATGGAAATTATGTGAGATGTAATTACACATGAAAAATCAGTGGAAAATTGCCACCTTATGAATATGATTGTGGGTTAAATAATTTATATTATTTACATATTATTAACAATTAAAACTTTTTCTTCAGTTATGTGTAATTTTAGAACCAATGCAGGAACTAATGTCTCGTCATAAAGCTTATGCTCTCAGCCCTCGTGATTGTCTTAAAACTACCCTATTTCAGAAGTGGCAACGAATGGTAGCACCTCCAGGTCAGTTTAAATTCTAGCTAACTTATACATATTAAATTCATAATTTTCACATAAAATGAAGATTGTGAATTCCATTAATTTTTAATAATTTTTTAAATCGTAAAGTGAAGATTTAGAATTTAATTTTATTCAATACTCCTTATATGAATATATAATAATGGCCTATCCCTACTAAATGTTAATTCAGCAACTAATGTATTAATTTTTAATTACAAAGTTTATAATATGATAAATTTTTCACTTTAATGATTTTTATATTAATTCAATATAATTTACTTTATTGTAATTTTCAGTTTTGAATTTTATTTTCTGAAATTTGATGATAAAATTTAAAATTAATTGAATATGATCTCTTATTCATGGAAGAATCTGAAAGATGATGCAATAGTTTCTGTTCCAATGACTTCAGCATCAGTGTTTAAAATAGCAAATAAAAATGTTAAGCAAAAGTTGAAAAACATTAGACTAAAGATTCTGTTATCTGATAGTTACATAGAATTATTTTAATCTCAAAATAAAAATTTTTTAAATTTCAGTTATTGAGAATATTTAGTAAACTCTTTAAAAGTGTCTTGAAGTAAATTTAAAAAAAATGAATGTGAATATCAAACATGCTGAACTAAGATGATATTTTGAACAGTAACCTATTTTTAAATTTTAAGATAATACAGCTGTCCCTTGATAATCTGGTAAGTATGGGACCAAAGGGGTGTCGGATTACCAAAAGTGTCCAGATTACCGAAAGTGATTACATATTTGGCATTGTTTTGCTAGCAGTAGTCTACAATATTCCCTACTCCAACTGTTCGAACAGAACTGTTCACAGAAAACACACGAAATGTGTGTCATCGTGTAAGAATTGGGTGGGGAGATTCACATAGTGACATGTTTCTGTGCAAGCAGACACATAATGGGGACGGGTACCTTGACGGGGGTGCATCGGACTACTGAGCATGTCGGATTACAAAACGTCGGACTATTAAGAGACAGCTGTACATTTTATTTAAACTGAATACATAAAACAAAATTTAAGTACAGTAGACCCCCCTATAACGCTTAGGTACGTTCCACGTTAATCGTTGTAGGAATGATTAAATACATGAGCCAATTGCAGCCCGATAGGTGTGAAGTTTACGGACTAAAGCTGTTTGAAAGGTTTTCTTCTATAAAATTAACCGATTCTAGACTAATTCCACTCAACATTTCCAAAACACGTTTGGGAATAATCTGTATAAACTATGCTATAAACAAAAAATTATAGGATTACTTACAGAGTGCACCGTTTGACTATGCCGTTGCTCAAAGCTTGTTTTCGTTGTGGAACAGCACACGAAACCGCGGCCGCAATTTCTGATAACGAATTTTTTGAAGAAAAATAACTTGACCTTTGGAGACATCATTAATATAAATAATTTTTATGGCCGTTGAATAAGAAATGTTTCTTTCACAAGAAATGTATAAAATTAGTACTGTATTAGACTTACGGTACCTAATTTACATACTGTACAGACGATAATAAACTCAACTTACTAGCCTAAAATCTCCATAGCGTGGCGCCAGGTGGCAGAAAGCATATATATAATTATAATAAAGTTACAATAAATTAAGTTAATATATAATTATATGTACAGTACCTAATTTATATATAATACTGTACAGACAATAGCAAACTCAATTTAGACGCTCCGTAGCGTGGCGTAGGGCGGAGGAAAGTAGTTCGGCTGCTCATCCACTATTGGTCCAGATTCTATCAATCTTGTCGCGACACGAGTTGGCGACGACGTTCTAGGAGCTCTTTTATATGTATGTTGCTACAATTTTTTCGCTACGTTATAGGAATTTTCATTATAGGAACGCACGTTATAGGGGGTCGACTGTATAGACCTATTTTTCTACACTAAACCATAAACATTTAAGCATCTATACCAGCACTTCATGAAGTTGAAAATACTAGTTTCCTAAAAGTTTGCTTTATTGAGAGTTGCATTCAAGATTTTATTTTTTTATCTGTTTGAAACCTCTTTCCACTGAGAAATTTCTTTTTCCCTTGGAACAAGTAGATGGTAGGCATTAGGTAAGAGTGTAGGATGGTTGTGGCAAAAGTTTCCAATTATAAATCAAAATATTTTCTGCGATCTTAAAAATACACTTTCAACAATTTGGCATGGATTTGTGATATTGTTTTGAGTGAAAGGACAAAAACTGACATCACAGCTTTCTATTCTTGTATAGCGGACAGTAAGATAAGAGCTGCCAGTTTAAACCAACTTATATCACTTGCATGGAAGATGACAGTACTTGTTGAATAATACTGTGGGAGAGATAAAGGGTGTACTTTATGGCCCAGCTACTTTTTCAAATCCAAATTAAAACAAATGCAATGGAAAAGAAAAGACCTTACCCTCATATAATATATATAACAGATTTAATATATATGCTACTTATGTATTATCAACACTTAATATTTTTATGAAAGCTGAAACATCATCTTCATCAATCATGATTATTTGATAAATTTCATTCATTTATTAGTGTCAGTTTTTAGTCAGTTTATATAAAATAAAAATTGAATTTGAAAAGCATGTGCCAAATCTGAAATTTTGAAGGAATTATTCATTCCTAGTAATTTTAAGATATTCCTTGCTAAAAAAAAGCAAAGAAACATTTTTTGTATTTTTAATATGTTTTTATTTTATATAAAATGCTAATGATTGAATCTTTGTTTTGAATACTTTTCAATTGTTTCAATATTAATTTTTTGATATTTAATATCTGCATTAAAATTCTATATTAGTATTTAATTCCTTTTTCAAGATAATATGTTGTTTACTACATAACTGAAATGCATTTGTGAAATTACATGATATTTTTTTTCTTAGTTTATTATATTTCTATAGAAAAAAGTTTTATTTTATTTCTAACTTCTGTATGTTCTTATTTAAAAGATTGCCCTATATAAATGTTAATTAGAAAGAAAACACTTAAAGAATAATTTAAACATTTCTAAATGTTAAATAATAATAAGTTATTGAAAAGATGCAAACAGCAAAAACTAAAAATTATACAATAAACAAATTTAATTTTTTAAAACAAGTAAGAAATAAATAATAAACATTTTAAAACTTACAACTAAAAGAAATTAAAAACATGGTTGAAAAAAGTAAATAAAAATACATAATAAAATAAGAAAAACTTAGTTTTTTTAAATTAGGTATTAAAAAAATTAATAAAGATCTAAAGCTGTTTTATAAAAAATAAATACAGTAGAATCTTAAGAAAACAGAAACTCTGCCTAAACAGAAAAACTTCTTTGGAATAGAGTGATATTTTTTCTGTTTTAATATAAATCAAATATCTGTCCATGCAGAAACAGAAGAGGTTTTTCTAGGTACAAAGAATGTAACTCAACTGGATAAAGTAGAAAATTAAGATGCCATTGTAAATTTCATCCCTATGTAATTGCATACAATGCAAACTATTCTGAGAATGTTTTGAACCTTGTTTGAGAAATTAAGATCATGTGACAAGGGAACATACAGACACGGCGGGATCTTTTTTAATATTAGTTTTTGTTAGAATTAGTTTGAATACTTTTAAGAATTGGAATTACTTTCCAAGAATTGAGTACTCAAGAACAAACAATGAGTGTAATTAATGAGAAAAAGATAATATAGTGCTACTAACTTGTCTTGTATGAGTTGGTAACTAACTAATCAACTTAACTTAATAATTTCAGAGATTGAAGTAATCAGGAAATATATCAACATTCCAATAACCCGATATATTAATAATCAACCAACCAATAGCCAAAATAATCAGGCAGAAATTATTCTACAAATATTATTTTTAGAAATTACATGATAAGACAACTAGAGCTAGACATTAGACACCATCTCTTAACCGCAACCACACAATAATGGGAGGTTGTGGGTTCAATTTCTGCTCTGGCCCAATTCTTTTCTTTCAGATTAATCTAAATTTTAAATTAAATTATAGTTTCTACTTTAGTTAAGAGATGGTGCCTAACGTCTACCTCTAATTGTTCCTATCATGTAATTCTAAAAATATTGGTAGTATAATTTCTGCCCAATTATTTTGGCTGTTGGTTGGTTGGTTGGTAATCAGAAAAGTGGTGCTGAAACTTTTCAATTGGCAAGCCAAATTGCACTTAAATCATAAGTAGGCAGACCACAAATATTTCATGCATTCTATACATACAAAAAGTAGACCTCTTTCTATCATTTATAAGTACTGTATCAAATATGTTTGTGGACCAGATTTGACCTGGAGGGTGTAATTTGGGCATCACTGAATTAGAATATTAAAATTCCTCAAAATCGGATCACAGAATGACTCAATCTCTGATAGCAGAGAGAGACATTTGGTATTTGAATTGGCCTATTTATTAATGTAAGGATCACATCCAAGAAGTATTTGAATACCTAATAAGTTCTCTGGAACAAGAACTTTTTGCAATCACATAATTTTCAATTTTTGAATTTGAATATTGCTATCTTTAGTTGGAATAAAAAGGGATTAAGCGTAGTAATAAAAATATTTTACGTATGTAAAAATGATTTTACTCAAAAGATAAGTTTGTGATATTTATCTGGTGTAGTTTAAGGATAAAAAAAGAATAATAAAACCTGTTCAAAATGGAAAAAATAATTCAGTACTATACAATTCCAATTTACACGGGTTTTACTGTATATTATATATACAGTGGGTGATCGGTTAACGAATATAATTTGTTCCAAGACTTTGTTTGTTATCTGAGTTGTTTGTTAATCGATTATCAATTTACCATAGGTTTTTATGGGAATTTGATTAATTCGTTCTTGAGATGCCAAAAAGTAAAAAAATATATACTTTTTTACTACATTTATTTATATGTAATAGTAAAAATACATATATATGTAGTCTTGCATTTTTATTAGTCATGTTTTTTCCGCTTGTGGGGGTTAAAGAATCTGTCCAATGTCGATTGTTTTTCTCTTTTC